CACCCTTATAATGAGTCTATCATAACTTGTTTCGATATATCAATTGAAACTTTGACTTTATTATGCAATATCATGAGTTCTTGTTTTTAAAGAAATAGTATTCTCTATCTTCAAATCTTGAATTCGCCTTCTTATTTGACTGTGCTTAGTAGGTACCCAATACAATCACCACAACTTATTCACTTAAAATAGAAAACTTGTCTAAAACTTCTTTTAAGACTTTGATGAATAAAGATACATATGTGGTTTCACATTTCCACCAGCAATGCTCACAAATACGTTAATATAAACAATAATTGAATTTCTTACATGATTACTATTATAACTGCATGCTCCATTTAATAGCACAATTGCATGCTCAATTTAATATCATTTGCTAATCTACCAATGAATATAAATAATCTTTGGATTATATATAAATTTTTTTATGTGAACTCTTGAAGGTCTTTGCACTTCCATTGATGTACTAAAAGGAGCAGCCCATTAAACCAGCAAAACTTTTGTTAGTGTAGGCGGGATGGAGAGCATGGCGTTGATAAAGAGTTCCTAATCTTCTTTCAGCTTCAAAGAGGAATTTCTTCAGATATAACACGACTATAATTCAATATTCAATATGTAAAGACTTGTCATGAAACAATACAAATACTTGCAACAAATCATATGATTTTTCATAAAACAAAAAAAATCACATTATTGATGAAAAAGAAATAAATAGCAGTAGTCCAAAATTCACAGTTTCTACCTGACCTACTCCTACTTCTTGACTGCTAGTAGAAATATACTATTAGCTTGATCACCATAAATATTATAGAAAGATAAAACAGCGAACTTCAGTCTCCACACTACACAAACTCGATTTATCAAATTCGAAAAAAATCATATTTCAAAAAAAAAAGTTCAAAATTTAAACATGAACATGTGTAAATGACTAAATGTTATTAAATTGTTAGCAAATGATATCTACAACACACTCCACAACTTAAACCAATCCAAAAGTTATCATACATTTGTTTGTTTGCCAGTTCTTTTTCTTATCTTTCATATTTTTGTTTCTTTTTTGGAACATTGTAAGATAATTTATCTAAAGGAATTTTACTTTATCAATTTCTACTGTTACAAGAAGTCACTCATTATTTTTCAATATATATTCGCAATATTAAAGTAAAAAATCATACTCGGCCTTGTTGTGTGTAACTTCATTTCTTATCCTATCTCTCCTAATATACTTACATATCCATCCGAGCATACTTCTATTTGTTATATTCATTTTTTGGATATGCATGTTCATGATTGACCGTCATTTTGCTCCAGATGTAATTTATCATAAAATTTCAGTGGCACATTTTTATCACAATATGTTAATTAGGTCCAACACCAAATTTCGTTACCAACTTTTCCATAAGTAACAATCATATGTCATTTTTTGTATCTTTTTCTCCTTCATTTGGAAAAAATAAAAAACATATAATGCATAAATGACAACCATATGTGTATTTAGATTGAATAAAATTTAAGGAACTTTAAAAAGAACATGAACTATGCCTTATATCCGCTCTCAAACTATAATCATTTAGTACACTTGTTTAAATAAAAAAAAAGTAAATCAACATTGGTTGATCTAGTTATATTGTCAAACACCCTTCATGCACCAACGATACTGAGAATTTATAAATAAAGTTGCATGAGTAAACCAAAAAAGTATTGACATGCATATATATGTAAAATACTACAATAGAGTAACAACATGAAAGAACCATTTCAAAAAGATTCATCTTACATTAAATAAAGGGCACACTATGCCTTATGTTGAAATTCTTTTTTTCTCTTCCTCTAGCCTTTTCTTTTAATCTTCTTCTTTATCCTTCATAATAAGTTTTTTTCGATGAAATTTATAGACACCGACTAAAAAGTAATCAACATACAATGGTTTGCAAGTGGTGTAACTCTCAAATCACTTTTCTAAAAAGCAAATTCTCTGGCAGATCAGTAGTTTGCAGTACTTACTGGTAAGCGAAGCTATCATCCTAAAGTTGTATATGCTAACACGTATAATCGAAAATATTAGACAAAACATACACATAATGATTATATTTATGATGGAGTGTGGCTTTTAGGCCAATCGTGTATATACAAAACTTCCACCTAAACACAAAAAGTCATACATATGCAATTTCCTTTTATCTACATAGATCATGTTGGATCCAATAATACACCTTGTATCACTGAATTTCGATTAATGAAAGATCAAGTTTCATTTATTAGAAAGCACAAAATTGTTCGTTCTCTTTGGCCATCCAACTACATTCCGAATCACTCATCTTGACTTGCGTCAGTTTATATATATATACATGATATAGATAGTCATTTTCGTTTTGATTTTACTTATCTAGACTTGTGCCAGTTCGCACAGAGGTTATAAATGATCATTTCAAAGACAAGTGCAGAAAACATGTCAATGAAAAAAAAAACAAGAGTTTTTTCAAGAGTGTAGTACCATTCCTACTGCTGTTTATACACACAATTCACAGGAGAATTTTATCAAACACATTGACTGAATAAATTTTCTACTAAATGTATCATCAATTAATATACTTGAAGAAGTAGAATGGAAATGAATAAAAGAATCAGATAGTTGTTAATCCAAAATCAAAAGGAAGGGTACACCTTAATACATCTAGTTCTGAAATTTTATACAAAAAGAAATAGAGAAAAAATATCAAATCCCCATTGAAGTTGTTTCAAATTTTCAAAAAGATACTTTAACTTTGTGAGTGTCTATTACCCCATAAAACTATCTAAGTCTACAATAAATATACCATTTTGACTAATTTTAACACTACTTGTGTTGTCACAGCATATGGGCGCGTGAAGGACTGTTGATCCAACTTCATTACCAATGTAAAATTGTCAGTTAACACTTCCAATTTGCCTCATTGAAAAAAACTATAGAAACTCATGTATTAATTATTATTTTTTTAACTTTATCAAGAATAGTTTTTAATTTTTCAAATCTTTTTTCTCACCTTTCCTACCATCATTAGCTTACCCATATTTCTTGAGCATCCATTCCTTCCTTCATTTTTTTTCTTTTTCTCTTTTTCCTTTTTGACGTTTTATTTTTAAAATAATGTTATTCAGTTTTATTTTTAAAAAAAAATAAATTAGTTTAGTGATTTTTTTCTCTTACAAATCAAAATTGGAATCTGGGAGTAGTTAAACTATGAAAAATTCAATTTGAAAGTAAGAGTTGGAGAAGGTGATGATTTAAATGTCAGATTTTGACTTGGTCATATTTGAGTATTTGAATTTTAATTATTTGACAATATTTATTTTCATAATTAAATTAATTGATAGTAGTTTGACTAAAAATTAACAGTGTTGCTGCGAAATCTGCTCAGACACAATGAATTTGATGTTGCTGCAGCACAAAGAGAATGAAAAAAAATAACTCAATTGAGATGAAGAAGAAAGAGAAAAAGAAAGAACAGAGTTGAGGTGAAGAAGAAAGAGAAAAAGGAAAAAAGAAAAATAAAAGAAATACAAAAAATAAGATAAAAATTATTTTAACACGTGGCAAGTGATTATTAGTGTGTGACATACAAATATTTTTGTATAAGTAATATTGAGTGAAAAATGGGGTATACATTCTATTTTGAAATTGTTTAATGAGGTAATAGAACACCCGCAAAATTAAGGTATCTTTTTAAAAATTTAAAATAACTTCAATGATGATTTTATGTCTTTTCTCCAAAAAAAAAAATTAAAAGAGAACATGCATGTGTAGAACCCTAAGTTCTATAGGAAAATGAAAAACACTGCAGAATTATCAATGAAATAAGTATGATAGATGAAAATTTTAGGACAAAGGAGAGGCTAAAAATTTGATAGGGAAGGCGTATAATCCCAACACAAAAACTTTGAAGTAATGTTTTTGCACAATAAATTAAAAAAAAAAGAGGTAGAGAAGTCGTGAAAATCAAAATGTTAACTAAGCCAAGAGGGTAATCACCAAAATGAAAATGTTAGAGGAGTCGAATTCAGAGGAAGATAGGTATAACCGAAAATAGAAAACAGAGGAGATAGATCAAGCATAGAGAAGGAAAAGCTGCGTGAGTTATCTATGACTAAATATAAAAAGACAACACACGTCACCAAAAAGAGTACAGATATCTCTATACAATGAATGCACCAAAGTTAATCTTCACAATACTAAAAATGCCCTTGTTTGTCCCATTACATTTTCAGCACAAGATACAATTATTATAAGTTTGTGTTAGTCCTTTAGAATTGTCACTTCTCAGTAAGGGGAGGTAAATAAATAAAGCAATTTGTGTTTTTTCTTCTATTCTCATTATCTAAGTGATAATTACTGCTTATCTGATCAAATGAGGCTGAAAATATTGTGTAGCACTTGATTATGCTTGAACTGAGAACTAAATGACTACATACTTCTTTCTTGATATTTTCCTAATTGCCTACATGAAAATCAAAATCAAATATTTTTTTCCTAGAAAAGAATGAAATATTATTCTATTTCTTTTTTTAAGATGTCATATTTTAGGGAAATTCAATAGCTTAAAGCGAAATATCACCCTATCATCAAAATCATCAGTCCTCTCTTATTTTTATCGGTAATATCATCACTTCTCTCTTATTTTTATCGGTGATATATTTACTCATCAACACAAAAGATAGTCAAGTCTTGTTAAAACTTTATAATAAATATTTCACGCTTAATCTTTTCCGAAATCAAAATTCATGTTTTATATGACTTCTCTATAATAATAATATTCTACATTTATTAAAGTAGTGCATTCAGTATGGTGATACACCCTTTGTCAAATTACCTCTATATATAGAGTCATACCAAAAACTTGTGTAATAATTATTTGTAAAAAATATTTGTGATAATTATATTTAATGACATGCACATAGTAAATTTCATGTCTGCATATCTAAATGCAAAAATTATATTTAAATGGCATATGTCAATTCATAACTTCACAAAAACTACCGGTGTTTGCCTTTTTACATTCATATTCTTTCTTTTAAAAAATAGTTAAATTGGTTAACAAATACATTCCTTCTTCTAGGTACACAAAAGTATAAATTTAATTTTTTTGTTTATAACAGCTAAATGAAATCTAAATATCATACTGCACCTTAATTCTTATCTTAGCATTTTCACTACCATGGAGCCAGACAATAACAGTAACAGTAACTATTACGTTCTCAGACTTGAGACTGGGGAAAATTACTTCTGAACTTGTTCGAGTAAAATTACCAGCTGGCTTAACAATGTAACTTTCTAAACAATCCCCGTGTGTGAAGGGAGTAGAAGAAAACAAGCCAAAGCTCGCGCCTAACACCGAGCCATATGTGTAATTTCCACCACCTGATTAGAGGTGGATTCTTTAAAGTAGGAAGCCAACAACATCAACTGCAAAATGGACCGTCGTCACCTGTTGCTAACATGCATTTACATGATCAGATGTAGTACTCACCCAGATTATTCACAGATGGGGCGTCATTTCTCTACACTGCAGGTATAGCTGTTACCTTTCTTCCATATCAATTCAAACTGACTACTGCAGAGATTCAATAAATGCATTCTAGTGGTCAATATTCAGGACATTTCTTACTTGAGGGTTGGAATTTTTTGCTAAGAATCAGAAACCACACCTGTGGCAGAAGGCACAGCATTTTCATTTAGAGGAAGAAGAGAAGCACCAGCAATGGGATCTGAAGCTTGAGCACCATTCAAAACTTGTTGAGCACCCTGTGAATGGTCTGGGGAGTTTGTGACGGGATTAGGCGGATAAATTGCTTGAAGTCCTGCTTGTCCACATATAGGGTGGTGACCTTCAACACACTTGAGCGCTGACTTGTGCTGTTTACCCGAAAGATGTTGTCTCAGAATCTCCCGTGTGTCACATTGCACATTGCACAGGTCACACATCAAAGGAATTACAACATTAGAATTGGAAGGTTCAGTCGCCAGCCTCTTTGCTTTAGAAGCTTTCTTTTTCTTCCTTCCACCAACTAATGTCTTACGTTTCACACTGGACCTCTGATTTCCAGGTTGATTCATCATGGGCTTATCCGGCGTATCTCGATTTGCATCTTTAGGTGGATCAGCTTGTTGTGCATTATTGGTTTTCTGTTGGGTTACTAATTTATTATCAGAAGATAAAGTATCTAAAGGAATATTTTGTGGTGGATTCTGCTGAGTCTCTTCTTCCACAAGGAAGTTATCAGGCTTCATGTCTGTTGAAGAAATATTTTGTGGTGGATTCTGCTGAGTCTCTTCTTCCACAAGCAAGTTATCAGGCTTCATGTCTGTTAAAGGAAAATTTTGTGGTGGATTCTGCTGAGTCTCTTCTTCCGCAAGCAAGTTATCAGGCTTCATGTCTGTTAAAGGAATATTTTGTGGTGGATTCTGCTTTGTCTCTTCTTCAACAAGCAAGTCATCAGGTTTCATGGTTGTTAAAGGAATATTTTGTGGTGACTTCTGCCTAGTCTCTTCTTCCACAAGCAAGTTATCAGGCTTCATGGCTGTTAAAGGAATATTTTGTGGTGACTTCTGCTTAGTCTCTTCTTCCACAAGCAAGTTATCAGGCTTCATGGCTGTTAAAGGAATATTTTCTGGTATATTCTGCTTAGTCTCTTCTTCCACAAGCAAGTTATCAGGCTTCATGGCTGTTCCTGGTTCAAAATCACTAGAAGGTTTCTGCACATTCTCGACATCGCTAACAGTTCTGTTTTCATTTGCTTCCAATTTTTCCAAGTTCCTTTTGTGCCGCTTTCCATTCAAGTGCATCTTAAGTATGCCCAAACAACCGCAATCGACATTGCACAGATCACACCTACCAACTCCAGCAGAATTGCTAACTTTATTCCTCCTTCTATCACAACCTTTACTCTGACCATCACCCCTCCTTCTATCACCACCTTTGCTCTGACCATCACCCCTCCTTCTATCAACACCTTTGCTCAGACCATCACCCCTCCTTCTATCAACACCTTTGCTCTGACCATCACCCCTCCTTCTATCACCACCTTTGCTCTGACCACCACCCCTCCTTCTATCACCACCCATCCTTCGACCACCACCCTTATCAAATGATTGACCAACCTGCAGAAGTAGCATCATGTGAACATTCAAGACTTCAACACCAGTTCCAACAAAATGGATTACTAGAAGTGGAGGAGAAAATGGGAATGTAGCTAGATCCGCAAAAAATCTAATGGCCTTCATCCCTGGCCTTGTCTACATTGCTAAATAGTTGCTTCACCTTTGCACATTTAATAAAAGTTTTGACAAGATAAGACAAAATTTATTGCTAGCATTATGCTCATAATAAGAAGAATAAAGCAGACTCAAAATGGAAAATAGATTGACCATCTGGTAGAATAGGTAGCAGCTCAATGTATAAGCCTATATGGATGGGTTTCTGGTAAATGGAATTGTTCTCATTATTCTAAGTTTTAGCAGAATAGTATGATGGCAATAAGTAGGATTGAAATGTATCACATGGATCTATTTCATTTCTGTCTGAGCTAAGCCTGCCAAACATATTTTACTTCCAGGAAGAAACTCTCTCCACATTCTTGGCCCTTCTTCTCCTTGCTCAAGGTTAAATCTGAACCAACCTTTAACCATTCTAAGCAACAGCAAGAATAGGATACTCGAATAAAAACTACCACTTTTTATCTTCTTCTACCTCACCGACACTTATATTTCACCCTTTTGACTGGCATAATAATCTCAAAACAGCTGCATTCAGAACATTGTTCAGTAAGTGTATTTTCGAAGTACAAAGTTTTCACGGCACTTCCACCTCCACAAGCAAAGCCAACCATTATGGAAGATGCTGAGACACTGTCACATCTCTCAACAAATAATACGGTGTTGCCACATCTATATGAATCGGGAATGTTTTTTCCGTTCTCAGACCCATGAATCACAGGACATTCTGTCACCGACCGAAGATGATGCCCAATCTTGTAGAAGGAAGAAAATTCAATAACACAACCAATAGCATTGCAAATGCTATAAGTACAAGGGCGGAGGACTGGTCTACTTGAAACTTTAGTAAAACAGTTCTAGGTTAAACTAATCTCTAAAAGAAAATGGGCATGGTCTACAAGTAGCTTCTTCTATCATAATCCCCTCTAATGAATTCTTTTAGCACCCTATTCTTTTTGAACAACTAGAGCTCGACCTGAAGTAATATAATTGCCGACTACTTCACATGACTTTTGAGAAAAAGGTCACAAGTTCATGATGGCAGATACGCCCATGGGTTTAGTTGAAGTGGTAAAGGTTGAGGGAGTAGTGACTTGGGTCACAGGTTTGAGCACAGTGCCATGCAAACTGCCTGACGTTTCATGGAAAGGGTAAAGGGGCGGGCTCATTGTCCCGGCCTTAATAAGTTGCAATTGGTCCTCAAGGTTGGACCCAGACGGATTTCTTGGTCAATTAAAAAAAGGTTCATCATTGCAGACATACTAACAACTGTATTAGAACATACAATACATCAGAAAGCCAAAACAACCCACATGATTACTCCAACAGCTATAGGCATGCTCATCAACACTTGACAGATATACTCCTACTTAGGAAGATGGTCTGGTACATTTTCTCACTCCTTCCCCCCTAACTCCATCTCTCATGATGTCCAACACTCGCCATGCTTTCTAGGCCATTGTCCTCAATGTATTAGTAATCGAAGATAAGTACTTATAGAAGTCCAAAATTTCAGTTGCTCGATCATACAAAGGCACTTAAGAAAGATTTGAAAAGAACTTCAAAAATGCAAAAAGGAACAACAATTTCTCTATAATTCATGCAGGAAAAGAACTCGTGAATAATTCAAGTACGCATTCTGCAAAGTCCTCTACACATGTTGGATAATAAGTTCTGTAATACCTGAACACCACTCTAAAATCAAGATACGATCGTCATGAATTAAGAGAAATGAAATTCACATATAAGTCACTGTTGTCAAAGGCTCCGTTGAGGTGCGCTTAATCCAAACTAGGTGCAGAATAGGTTTTCTGCTTCACTTCGTCTAAGCTGCGCTTTACTGCAGGCACTAAGGCACACAACTCACCGTTCATGTGCTCTGCCTAGAAGACAGAGTCACCAAATAAAGTCATTTCACCTAATTGTAACTTTTTCTATTTGGTTTTCTACATAATCGTGGTTTGGGCTTATAGCTATTTTTCTTGAACTGTCTATACTCTTGCGCTATTATTCACTAAAGGTCACTCTTTATAATTGCATTTTGACATAAAGCCTTTAGCTTTACGGCTTTGATAACGCTGATATAAGTTATAACATAGTTCAGAAAAAGGAAAAATAACTGATTTCTCAAAACACGAAGACGAAATACTTCTTACTCGACAGAGACCACTTACATGAGAATGCAATCCAGATGGCCCCGCCCCATTTCCAGGGAATGCACCAGATCCCAAACCCGAACCTGTATAGGTACCCGGTCCTCCAATCACGGGTCTGAACCCTTGAGCCTGGGGGTACCAACTCTGGCCTTGCAATCCACCCGTGGCCGTCAGCCTTTCCGCTGCACCCACAGAACCAGCTAACTGGTTCAACTGAGCCAACGCTGCCACAGGATTCACCCCTAGCCCAACCCCCTCTGTCCTTTGGGGCAAGTGATAACCATTCTGCTGATTGGGTAACTGAAAGTACGGTTGCCCGTGTGATGCCGAAGCGGGTTGAATTGAAACCCCTGGCGGATGAATTGGGGGTTCTTGATGATTCCATTGGTGATGGGCTTGTGGGTGTTGCGGTGGATATGAATTTGAATAATTGGGAGGGCAATACGATGAATATTGTTGTTGGGTTTGTTGATGATGATACTGCGGCTGTTGTTGATGATATATCTGCTGCTGCTGCTGCTGTTGTTGTTGTTGATGTGGGTCTTGATAATTGGAGTAATATGATTGACGACCATTGGCTTGAAAACGAGATGGGTTGTAGTTGTAGGATTGTTGTTGGGATGCAGGATAAGAAGGATATTGATTTTGCTGAGATGAAGAAGAAGACGAATCCATGGAGCTTTAGGGTTTATTTGCAGGTACTATGATTTTTATCTATCAACCAAGAAAGACTGAGAAAATGATATCTAAATCTGAAATTCAAATTCCGGAATATTAATATTTATCAAGAAAACAAACGAGCTTCTATATATAAAATCATAGAGAGAGAAAAAGCCTAAAATCGTCCTTTAAGTTTACGCTCTCAAGCAAAGTCATCCTTATTCTTATCAATGTGGGCGTTCGGTTTTCCCCTTCGGTTTAATTAAATTTTGGTTTAGTTTTTTGGTATTTGATTTTAGAAAAGTGTGGGCCATAGTTTATATCATATTAGTCGGTTCAATTTTTTTCTACTTCAATTCGATTTAATTCGGTATTTTTAAATCGATTTTTCGATATGAATAAAAATAAAAACAGAATCTGATAAAATGTTAAAAGTTTCATCATGTATTTAATAAAGAAAAAGAGGGCATAGATTATTTTTAGCAAAGATGTCAAAGGATTTGTTTCCATTTCTTAATATATATGGCTGCCATTTTGCTAAGCCTAAAGGCTTTCTCCCATACCGAAATGCTGAATGAATAATGAAGAGAGCAAGCACCCTAGCAAACACGATGTAACGATAAACTTACAATCAAAATATAAGTACTCACAATGTACAATTGTACATAAACAACAAAGTTCAACACTTTATTGACATTATATTTGTCGTCATTTAAAAATTGAAAATTTAAATGGATCATGTAAATATTTTGGTCAAAATTCAAAAGTGTATGGCTATTATTAATTAAGCAATATAATTTAAATATTTTTAAATTTAGTAAATAAAATTTTGGTTCTTCGATGCACCGTAGTTTCGAGACCCTCGCACCGAACTCCAAAACAAAGAACCGAAGTTCTGAAAAAAGAAAACCGACACCAAATCGAAACACGAAGAATCGAAATTGAAGAATCAAATTTTTTTAATTCAGTTCAATTTTTCAATTTTTCGGTATTTATGTCTACCCTTACTTAGCATATGAAGCATAATCAATCCTTTAATATGCATATAATTCATATACACATGGCAAATTGAAATTGTGTGAAAACCACATGTTGTATACGTCAAATCGCGAGAGATTTGCTACATATAATATGTGTGTTTATTTGTGTTCATTGTATGATATTTATGTGTAAATTACATATGTAGGTTCTTTAGCTATTTTTGTAGCCACCAACATGGATTGTGGTGTACTGATGAGAGTGTTTCACCCTTAATTAGAGGTCTCGGGTTTGAGCCTTGGATATGGAGAAAATCCTATTGGGAGCGCCACTCCCGAATGGACCCTGCAGTGTGCGATTCGGATTTAGTCGGAGCTCCAATGTGGGCTCTAGACATTGAATGGGAAACCAAAAAAAAAGGGAAAATTTTTTAAAATGTCAATATTTTAGCATTTAAGAGGGTTTATTAGCAACACTTTCAATATTTAGTAAAAATGTCAAATTTTAGTTTGTTATATATTTTATTTTTGTTTTTATTATTTGTTTTTATTTAAAGAATATAATTATTTAATAACAAAAGGGAGAAAATCAAGGAAGAGAATATTTCAAAAAAAGATAAGGATCCTTAATTTTCTCTTACATTTTCAAATATAATTTAAATTTTGTTCTTTTTTTTTTCTCCGGGATTTTTACCTTTTTAAAATTATATTCATTCCACAATATATTCTATTTATATTTATTATAGTTATTTATTAGTTTATATTTATTCCAACAGGTATGCCGAATTTATCTATATAGTCATTCAAGAAACATATTTGTATTTTCATATATTTTTTTCCCAATTAGTTATTTTTTTCTTCAAAAATCGTGTATGTATTTATTTCAATATGTATTTTATTTGTATTTATATTTATTCTAGTTTTTATTTAGAATTTTGTATAATAATATATAAAATACAAAAAAATAGTATGATGAAAAAGTGAATGAAATATAAAATTGAAAAGAAATAATTGAATATTTGGTATACTCATTCTTAAATAAAATACATAACTAGTTGACATATCTTTAGAATAAATACAAATTAGAAAAAAATGTCAAATTCAGAAACAATGCAACATAATTTTTGAATGAATATAACTATTAATTGTAAAAATACATACTGACTAAAACAGTATCAAAATTCAATATATACTTCCAAATTTATGAATACAAAAAACAATAAAACTATGAAATACAAAAATAAATACTAAATGTGGTACGTTGACACAACTATATATAAAAAAAAGAATACAAAATGAATTAAATATATGAAATACAATTCCAAATCTATGGATACAAAATACAATAAAACAATGAAATACAAAAATACATACTGACTAAAACAACAACAAATTCAATATACACTTCTAAATCTATGAATACAAAAAACATCAAAACTATGAAATATACACAATCAAACTCGTATAATATGTTACATTGACATAACTAACACAAAAAAAAAAACAGAACACAAAGTACAATAAATATATGAAATACAAAAATAAATACTAACTATAATATAATAAAAATTCCATATCCACTTCCAAACGCATTTTAACATGAATATTTTTGAATCTAAAAAATTATTAAACAAATTAAACTAAACATGCAAGACACAGAACATGCAAAAAAAAAAAAACTCTTCTCCAACAAATTGGTCTTCTTCAACTTCATGGTTATGAATTTGTGTGGGATTTTGCACATCGACGGATTCAAACATTTTTCCCCGTGTATATCCTCAGATTTAGAAGCGGAACCTACATTCCTACATTCTTGTTTAATTTTTGAGTGAAAGAAAAATTAAATGATGAAAAATCGGAAGAACTTTGATTATTTTGTCCAATACGTCTAATAACTCTCTTGAAAAGTCCATTTAAGAGGGAATTATGTAGTCTCAAATCCTAAAAAATGTTTTAAGAACAACAACAAAATAAAAAAAAAAACACTAAAATCAGTAAGTAAATAAATAAGGAATCTGAAAAACATAATACCCAAATCAATGTTAATCTTCAAATCAATTTTGCAACGAAATCAAATGAGAATAATAGAAAATATTAATATATTGAATCGAAAATATGTGAAATTGATTTGGAAGAATGTTAGAGAGAGAAATTGAAAAGAAGAGTAAGAAAAGAGAGAAAAATTTGTGGATTTGATTAGGAAGAAAGTAGGAGAGAGAAATTGATAAGCTTAAGAATAAAGAAAAAAATTAAAATGACATTAATATCTATCCAATTACATAAATATAGGAAAATGTGTAATCTATTAGAGAAAATATTAAAAATATCAGAATAATTATTTATTTTTAAAATAATGACATTTTTGACATGTTTACAAATATTATTAAAGTATGAATATTATCTGACTCAGCTAAATTTCCCCAAGGAAAAAAACTATATTTGTAGCCAATCACTTAAAAGGGCCGTTAGCGCTTCATATGACTTAGAAAAGAAATGGACTTTGATTTACAGCCCAAACTTAAAAGGGACATGATTTTTGAGTTTTTTTCTCAATCTAAGACATGTCTTGTCTTTAACTTCACCAACCAAGGAGGAAAACATAAAACTTCAGATATATGTATTTATGAAACTTGTCTAATTTATTTTTTAGGCATGATAGTTTAAGACTTCCTAAACTCTATATCGTTTATTCGGCATACCTAAATTTTATTTAATATCCTAATTATTACTCTTCAAATTTGGCATTTTGATAGCTTTCCCCTTTTAATGATGACATAGCAAAGATAAAGAGGATACCGTGTGTGATCGTTTGAGGTTCGATAGAGAATTAACAAATTAATTTTTAAATTAAATATTTTTCAACAGTTAATTGTCATATAGATATATAATAAATTATTTGTTTTCAGTATATTTCTTTTTTACTTCTTAATCAGAGAATATAGGAGCTAGGTGTACGTGTATTGGTTGACTTTGAAAAAAAATCGATAGGAGTATGTGTATATATCTTGACAAACTTGTAATTGTAAAGATAGTGGCACAATCTCTTAGTTTCATTATAATTTGGATTATCACTCTTTGGCACTCTCGTGATTTTATTGGTCACCATTTACACCCCTTAGGTCCAGGACATCCTAGCCATCTACCATGCCAAGTTACCAACTATTATAAACTTAGAAAGAAAGTTCAATCCAAAATAGATTAATCTGATAGATCATTGCAAAGCTTTATAGCCTGAGCTTAATTAAAGATTATAGCTATAATTTACTTAATTACAAATATATAGTTATAAGTTAGAAAGAAAAGAGAGAGAGATATAATTATACTAAATGTATATCTGATCAATAATTGTATCGCGAATACAGTTGATTATCATTGAATATAATTATATAAAATGTTATTGTTGTCATTCATATAAATCAAGTGTATTAATGAATTTGATTAACAAATACTATTTGTATCACGGGTGTTATTATACTAATGAATACAATTATATCAAGTTATATCAAGTTCAACTGTATTAACGAATATAATTGGATCAATATTGTATATATATCATAACAAATTATATCTATATTCATGTGTATCTGTATTCATTTGTTACCTTGTGCAATTATATTTATGTCTTATTTGTGTGTTTGTATTCATATTAAATTTGTTGCCTTAGGTGTTTTTATTTATATTTGAAATATGTTATCATATGCGTTTTGAAATAAATATGTTATTATATGCCTTAGGTGTTTTTATTTATATTTGAAATATGTTATCATATGTGTTTTTCTTTACTCCTTCAAACTCGACCCAGATCCAGCCTAATAAAAAAATACTTTCTCTTTTAATCGGACCTGGCCCAAACTCATCTTATTATGTTTTTGTTTTTTGGTTTCACATTCGGTGTTTGAAGTGCACATTGGAGCTCCGACTAAATCCAGATCGCACATTGCAGGGCCCACTCGGGGGTAGCGCTCCCAACAAAATTTTCTCCATACTCAGAGCTCGAAAACCAAGATCTATGATTAATGATGAAGCACTCACACTAATAAATCACAACCCGATGGTTCATTTTATTATGTTATGACTTAATAGAAGAGGATTGATTTTATTTTTTTTCATTTGGGTGGGACTCATATCTGATGGGATATAAAAATGAGTGAGATGATCTTTTAAGCCAAATTGCATTTTTTAAAAATTAAAAGCCACTTTTAGAATTTACTTATTTTAATTTCGTAATATAAACTCGTTATGAAAAAGATAAATATATAT